CTTCTGGCAACTGTTGGTTCCTTTAAATGAACACCACAGGAAGTTCAAATTGGAAAAGCACTGTTAACTTGCCAGCAGTTACAGTAACAAAACCCTCTGAGTCACTGGCCTTACTCTGCAGGTGTTTAAAAATCTCCTTCAACTACCAGGGATGAATCCCAGTAATGCCCAGTCTGTCCATGGAATCCTGGTAATGTCCACTCTGTCCATGGAATAAATGGCAAGGTTGTTTATTCCACCCAGGGTCAGAGCAGAGGTGCTGCTAGTGGTGAGCACAGAGAAGTGTTCTCTGAATCCCTCTCTTGGCCTCCAAGCCTTACAGTTCATCAGCTTCCCACCCTAGCCCCTTTAATAGCCCTGGGTGGATTTCTTCTCCATCACTTTGACCCTTGAGCCCACACAAAACGTTCCTGTCCTCAATGTGAAAGTTCCACAGTTTATGAGACTGGTGAATAATACCCTCCTTTTGCTCCTTATCAAATTGCCCCCTGCCAGTTTCGTTTAATTACTATAGTGAAGGAGACAATGAGTTCCCTTTTAAGAGATTCTTAATATATTCCCTCTTGGAAATCTGTTTTCCCACTTGAACTATCCTTGTTTACGTGGTCATTCCATACCTCTGATCACCCTGTAAACTCTTCTGCTTTCTCACACACTCCTACAACCTTTTTGATAGCAGAGAACTAGAATTACACACATTATTCAAAAAACAAATGCACTTTCAATATAAATAGTCACCTTGTGTGCATTTTTGCCTCTTTATAAGTGGTAGACTTGCTTTTTTTTTTTGACTGAGCAATGCACTGACATATACATGGAATTATTTATGTTAACAATTCAAAGATTACTTTTTTCACAAGGTGAGGCTTAGCTCAAAACCAATCATCAATACTATTAGGAGATTTATTATCCTTCTAGATACATCATTTCTGCTTATCTGCATGTACTTTTATCTGTCATTTCCCATTTGAACAGTTTGCCTCTTACTGTATTGACACCACATGTAAAGCTCATCAATTAGAAAGCCTTTAACCTACTACAAACGTGTATGTCAGACTCGATTTCTCTTTCTGTTTTCCATGGAGCTAGGCAAAAGCTTGTTCACAACTACAGTAACTTCTTGTCTTGTTTCTATCAGACGAATTATGTGACAAAATTAATGGAAAAAAATGTGCGTAGACAATACCATATCTCATTGGGACATTATAAATCTATTAATTCTTATTGCATATGTGCAGCTAAGTGACAAACACACCTTGCATGGTCAAAAATAATAACTGAACAACTTGTTTGACATAATTTTCTTAGAACTATCAAACTAACAAAACTGTTAGTGTTTCAGATCTGAAAAGGTGACAAACTACCCAAATTTGAACAATTTCTTTTCATAAGATGAGAACGAACATTTAATCATCTTACCTCTCTTTTGCAAGAACAGCAAGTCCCTGTAGTAAGATGGGTACAACTGTCTGATCCAGGTAGGCACGTGTGGGCAATGACTGAAGATCAACCTTCTGCTTTGATGTTTTCTCTGCATTTATTTTCTCATTTTCTACTATTCTCTGAATTAAAAAAGTCAATGAAGATTGATAATGAAAACTGACCTACTTTGAAGAGTGAGGCCAAGTACCTGTTTCTCTGCAAAAAAGCTGAAAATAACTTCCTCATATTTTAAAATCTATTTTAAGTGCATATTTTTCTTTGGATAAAAATCTAAACCAGGGGAACTTTATGCTAAGTTCATTCTGCGTTCCCAGATTTAATTCTACATACACAATTAAAGACAAGAGAGACTAACATCAGTGATCCCAATTAAACAGCACTTGTATCCACTTGCAGCACTGAACTTGAATAGCACGAGGTCTTATCCCCACCAAAAAATCAAGAGAAGTCTGAAAAGAGGAACTTTATGGGATCAAACACTCTGAAACCATGCTCTGGTGATGCATATGTGGATATGTTAAGAGGGCATACTGTGAATCCTTCCAGGTGACTTTTGGCTTTTTACAGTGTATCTTGATAGCAGCAGTACCATACACTACCTCCAATAAAATCACATTAAAGGGCTCACTATTTATTTCAGTATCATTTACTATGAAGGAAGCAACACATGAGAAAATCTATTGTCAACTATTGCAACAAACTGGTCTCCACTAGTGAGTTTGTTTCCATTTATCTTTCAGGGGTGTCTACATTTTCTGGAGCTACGCTTGAGATTCAACACTTTTCCCCCAGACCTGAACTGTGAACTTCTCCTGCAATAGACAACAGCAAACTGCAAACTCATCTTTACCTCCACGTTTTCAGTGAGACCGTATTCAGCATGGGGATTTTCTGGAACCTGTAAAACAATACACAGTCAACAAAAAGGGTGGCTTTTTTTTTTTTTTTTTTTAAATTTCTGCGTGTAAAGGGATGCACGCGGAATTTCTCTTGCAGTACCTGCGGCTGTCCCTCCATAATCTGCTCCGCCTCCATGACTCGGAGCGCAGAAATCCCAGGATATGCAGCAACCTTGAAGGCAACAAAATCGCCGGTGAGCGGCGGAGCGGGACACGCGTGCGCGGGCCGCACTGCGCCCCCCGGCGCGGGCCCCGCCCCGCCCCGCCGCTGCCCCCCCCGGGCGCTCTCACCGGCTCCGGGCGGCGGGGCCCGCGCGGCGGCTCCGGCGGCCTCTGCACAGCAACGGCGACGCGCGCGCGGGTGTCGTAAATTGTTTGGTCGTAAGTGAAAAGGTCGCGATGCCGCCGCCGGGCGAACTGCGCCTGCGCCGAGTGTGACGCTCTCCCGTCCTTCCTCCCCGCCCCGCGCTCCCCACCTGAGAGGAGGGGTCGCTCAGGCGGGCCTCTGGGTGACGTCACTAGGGGCGGGGCCCTCGCCCTTCTCGGCCGCCCCATTGGTGGGCGGGCGCGGTGGGCGGGCCCGCGGGATGGGGTTGGTCTCAGCTTTACCTGACGATTTTACAGACTGTCTTTAATTGGGATTTGGGGGGTAATGCCAATAATTGGGGAGCGAGGAGAGGTTTCGTTTTGTAAGAAGGTCCTGAGGCCTTTGTCTAGTTGTCCTTTCCTGACTGCTGTCATCTCAGTGCTCCGATTTCTGCGTGCTTTGCTGAGATACAGTGTTTTATCTCTGTGTTTTATCTCGGTGTTTTATCTCTGTGTTTAATGAGTCCTTCATCCTCAGGAAGAAGTAAAATGAGCTTTTTTGTTTGTTTTGTTAATGTGTTAATTTTATGCCATACTATCGAGTAGTTTATGGACAGATGCAATGAATACCAGAGCTAGCTTAAACTAGCAGGAGAAGGTGATTAAAAAACAAATCACTGAAATATTTCATAATGATAAATCTTGAAATAATTCTATAGATGCTCGCTCAAAGCACTATCATGTCTAATTCCTGTTTGATGTCTAGTTTTCAAAGTGTTTTGGTTTAGCAACCGTTTAACCAAACAGTTAAACCATTTTGGTATTATTGTCAAACACCTTTCACAAACACTGAACTTTTAACATATATATATAATCTTATATATGAAATGGTGAGTACTTAGGCTTGTTTGAGACTTAAGACCAATGAACTCTTCCTAATGTTATTCATTTTTTTTCTTCAAGTAATGAATAATTTAGTCCCTCAGTGCCTTTTGTGTTCTTTGGTGTGGGGTGATACTGTAGATGGCAGACAGATAATGCAGTGACAGTGCAGACTGCAAATGAGCAATCTATAGGCATATGGTTGATTCCAAACGATGTTTTTGAATGTGACATAATTTCAGATTTTTTTAACTTTTCAGGTTTCTTTATTGTTATTTCCAAAATCATTAAATTTTAAGGTCAGTACACCATTAGGTCATATTTTACACACTAACTAGGAATATGCAGCAGTTGAATATTGTTTAACCTCCAGTTATATAGTGAAGACTGCAAAGTATTTCACTATATTTTTACAATAGAAGTGCATCCTGATTTACAAACACAGAAGAAAAATATGTAATGAACTGCACTGCACTATTAATTTGTGATGTTAAGTGGGGTTAATAAGTGATGTTGATTTAGGAAAAGAAGACCCATTTGGGACTAAAGCAGGGGATACCGGTAGCAAAACTAGGATCAGGGAGCCCTTGTCCATGACTGCCTGTCCTTGTTTATGGCACCAGGGCATTTGACAACAGTTCAGGTAACAAAAGCAGGGGAAAGCTGGGCGCTCTCTCCCATCAGGAGATATTCAGAGCGATGCAGGTGGATAAATAATTAATAAAGGTGATGTGACATGTGTGTCATGAGGATTGAGCAAGAGTAAGGCACTGTTTTTTCAGTTTTTCCTGTGTATAATGTGTATTCCCTGCAAAGGGACAAGGGCTGCCATTTCAGTTACTTAAATTTGCAGGAGGCAAAGCACTTCAGAGGATATTCCCCAGGGGGCAGATCTACAGAGGCAGCCAGAGGGAAGACATAACCTACTGGCTCATACATATATCTCACTGAGGGGCCTGTAATTTCGACAGAGAGGAAATTACAGGGGAGCTCTGCTAATCTGAGTCTAGGAATGACTGTAAGCGGTATGATTTATTTATACTGTATTAGCCCGCAGTGTGATTCAGTTATTCACCGCAGTGCCACCTCTAACCGAGACAGCGCGCCGGGAGGCAGCAGGGCCTGTTGGAGGCGGCCGCGGAGCGCCCTGGGCCGGGCCGGGCCGTTAACGGCCGCAGCGCCCGCGACTACATTTCCCAGCGTGCCCCGCGGCGCGCCGGCTGGCCAGCCGGTGATGGGCTGGGGGGGGGAACTCAGCGGCTGCGCCTGCGCGGGAGCTCCCGGGCGGCGCCGGGAGCTGTAGGCGGTGTCGGCGCCGCCTCCTATTGTCGCCTTCGCCGCGGCGCGTAAACAATAGGGGCGGCGGGGGCGCCTGCGCCCTCCCCCCGCCCAGCAAAGGGGCGTCGCCGCCGCCGCCGCCATGGCCGGTGCTAGTCAGTGGGCGGCCGCGGGTTATGGCGACGGCGGTGAATGAATTCCCCGGGCGGGCGAGGCAAGAAGAAGGGCTCCGCCGGCTCCAGCGCCTCGGCCCCGGCCGCCGCGGCCTCGCCCCCCGCGCCGGCTCCCCCCGCGCCGCCGCCGGCGGGGGCGGCCTCGTCGCCGCACAAGCGCAACCTCTACTACTTCTCGTACCCGCTGTTCGCCGCCTTCGCCCTGCTGCGCTTCGTCGCCTTCCAGCTGGGGCTGCTCTTCGCCTGGCTCTGCGAGCGCCTCTCCCGCGGCGCCCTCATGGCCGCCAAGGGCGGCAGGGCCGCGGCGGGCGACGCGCCCGAGCCCGGCGGC